CCCCCATTTATCAGTAAACTAATGAGGCCTTACATGCATACATGCACAATAGTGTCCATACACTAGTATACTACTATAATACATCAACCAAGATTCTACAACATATTTTATATTGTCTTTTACAAATACTATAGGCAATGTTTGAAATCTGAATAAGATGCATCCGATATGGGGCACATTGTATCAATGTAGACCATAACCGGCACAAGATACAAGACGACTGGAAGTGTATTCTATCAACTATTCATATCAGGGCATATTAGGCCAATACGGGTGCATATAGTTTCATATTGCATGTATACACCAATATGAACCAATACATCATGCCCTTCTACTAAGAATTGAGGATAGAACGATTTGGACCTAGGTTGCCTAACTTTTATTAACTTTACTGTCTACATGTAATTAAAAAATAATATTCAAAATTAATATTTTATAAATTAATGGAATAAATAATCTATCAAATTAATCACAAAAAATGTATACAAATAAAATATTAATAATAGAACAATTATTTAAATTTGAACATGATAAGTATACAAAAAATAAAAAGTGTTTACAAAACATTCTAGAATATAATATTAAATTGAATTTATCAAATCTAATAATCTACATTTATCTCAAAAAAAATGATTTTTAATTTTAGAAAAATTATAGGAAAAAAATATTTATAATGGAATAATAGTTTTACTAATTAAAAAATAGGGATTAGAATTTGATATGTATCTTAGAAATTTTAATATATTTGATATGTTTTAAATTGAGATTATATATTTTTATAAATTATTAGTTGATATTTTAATTTACATTTGAGAATTTAATATTTGGTTGACTTTTTTGTTAATGTAAAAATAGTAAAATAGAAAATAATTGATATAATAATTAAAATATAATATGTACTAATGGTGTATGGCTTGGACTCTTAATTGATGCATTATCAATAAAATTGTATGATATTTATGCATTAGGGATGAGCATAGGTCGGTTCAATTCGGTTCCATGGCAGAACCTAGAATCTACTCTATAAGGGATGGCTCCAAGTTTTTGGAGCCAGAATATACCCTATGAAGGTCAATTCCAAGGTTGGTTCTGGCCTTGGTGGTTCCGAGGTTAATTCCAGGGTCTACCAGTGGAACCTATTCTTTCTTTACTCCACCTTTAAAAAAAGAGGCATGTTCTTTAAAAACTTGATTTTCAATAATTATAATATATAGTTTAAAATTTATATTATCTTTGTTGATTAAATTGAGTAGCTTAATATTAATATGTAGATTACCATTATATGGTTTAAAACATATAATTTAAATTAAATGTAACAAAATCAGGTATGTTTTTAAAAGAATTGCAAAAAGAGTGATGGGAAGAAGTTTTTATTTTTTTTCTTGACTAAAATGCCCTTAAATAAAACACTTTCTCATTCTCTGATGTCTTAGGTCTCTCCCTTTTCTCTCCTCTCGGAGTTTCTCAAATTGATATAGACTTTAGCACTCAACATATTAGTCAGTGAGATTCGCCTTATGGGAAGTGAAAACCATTCCTGATGTAGGGTGATCTGGCCCGACCTCATAGCACAGGGACACGTGGACATAACCTGACATAAGTGACAACTCAACGTGATAGCCTGGCCACAACTCGGCGTAACAAGCTCGCTGAAGCCCGACCAAACAACTCGGCAGGTGTAACAACTCGCCGAGAAGCAGGGCCCAGCTTGCCCCAAGCCTGAGGGTGGAGCATCCCGAGCTCCCTCCGTGCAAAGGGCCCCGAGCTCCCCTTGAGGCCCGAGCTCCTCCTGAGGGGCTCCGAGCTCTCCCTCCCTAAGAAGGGAGAACCCCAGCTTTTGGCTAAGTGTCCCGAGGGAGAAACACCTCGGGACAGCACCGTCGAGACTCCTGTTCGTACTTGCTTAAGGCTCGCCTCCAGTGCGAGCACCTCAGCGTACCTCGGCACCTCGGTGCAAGGCAACCCAGCCCTAGGTGGTTCGGTGCAATGTAGCTCGGCAGCCTGCAGGGAAGATCCGCCTGACATCCGAACCTACCGGATCTGGTGGCAGCGCCTACATCTCTTGCTAGGCAGTGTCGTGCCTGTCGTCTCTGAAAAGCATGGCACGCCTGACGAGTCCATACCCTGCAGCAACAACCTGCACCTGCCACCTCAGCCCTTGTAGTAACGGCTAGGGCAGTGGTGGTTACGCCTGATGTGACTGAGCTCCGGTATAAGAGGACCCCGACCCTCACGAAGCAAAGTTATTGAAGCTAGCACTTTCAGCACTCTTAACTCTTTGTGTTTTCCTTAGAGTTCTAACTTAGCCATCGGAGTGTTCCCGCCGAAAGAGCTCCCCGGGAACCCTTCACGTTCCTCTTCATCTCAGGTGTTGTCTATCACAGCTAGGAGCCAAGTTTCAGCCAACTAGGAGTGCCTAGATCGTTCTGCATCATTTGGCGTCGTCTGTGGGAACGCTTCAAAAGGCCTTCCTCTAAGTTCTGTGCAACTCTCTCCAAAGAACTCATCAGCATCATCGACACCTATGGCTTTTTCCAGCAACACCGGACGCCGAAACACCCCTGAGTAACAACCCCATTTACCCACCGTCTGCATTAGACAGTTCACCGTCCCCCTCTCTGTGGACGGGGTCCCCAGTCTGAATGTGCCTCAGACGGTGGCACCCATGACTGTTCCACTACCCTCTACAGTCGGAACAACCTTCGCTGAACCCACCATCCTCCCTCCGGTGGCCAGCCAAGGTCAGCTCGAGGATCTGATGCAGTGCATGCGAGCCATGCAGGCTCAGATGCAACAGTTCCAACAACTTCAATTCCAACAACTTCAGTTCCACCAGCAGCAAGTGCTGCACCAGTTTTCCCAATACCAATATCAGCAACAGTTTCCTTCACTCCCTCCTCGGCATCCAGCTGTGCAGCCAACCAATCCTCACCGCCGAAGCGAACTTCCTTCTTGTCGAGGAGAGACCTCGGTACCATCTCATGGAAGGAAGGAAAGACCCCCTACCCCACCTCGCGGCTTGCAGTTAGGTTTGGGGCTTCCCAGCCAGTTAGGCCCGTATCACCTCAGCGTTCGCAGTTCGAACCTCCACTTGTCAAAAACCGGTTCGAAGTGCTGGCCGACGACCTGGTACAAGGACCCTCTGTTCGCAGCTACCGAAAGTCGTCCGAGCCTTTCCCTGGGCCCGTCGAGCTCAGTAATACCGAGGCCAGCAACACCAACGCCGAGCCTGCTAAGAAGCAGCGAAGGCATCGCCGAGCTCGCCGAACTGCCACCCGCGATCTACCCGAACTCAGAGGCAAGGTAGAGGTAAGTTCGAGCGAGGTAAAAGCTACTTCACTTCTTTCAGTTCCTTCCCCCCTGTCACCAAAGCTCCTTGTTGTCCCCATGCCAAGGGAC